TAGTCTGTATTTATTCATCACGGCAAGTTAAAGAGTATTTCATCTCCCTCAAAAAGAGGTATGATATAAAAAAACCCATAGATGTTAATGTTTGAAGATAGACATACTAGCAACAGCTTTCTTTCCCAGGTAGGAACAACTATTGTTAAGCCATAAAAATGTACTATTAACCAGTACTCAACCAAAGAGCACAAAAAAAGAAAAGTATCAAATAAATAGCGTTCGATAATATATTTACACAACGTGGTAAATCACTGCAGCAGAAACAGTATTATTGATGACAGTGAGGTTCTGTCAATAAATCCAACAAGACAAAGCCAGCTGAAGCAGCTACTGGTTAAATTACTGATCATGAGAATTAGACATGCACAAAAAAAAAAAAGACCCTATCCTTTAATAGACTCAGTGAAGACAGATCTCCCTACATCCTTTGACATCAGTTGAGCTCTGCCACACAAAGCTAATGACACGATTAGAATCAAACAGGATAACAAAATAAAAGGTAACCCTAAATCTACTTAAAAAAGAAAAAAAAGAGCATCTAAATACCTTAATGCTAGGTACAAATGACATACATCAAAGAAGGCAAAAGCTAAAAGTCAAATCAACCTCTACACGAAACAGTAAAGAGGAGAAGAAATTTAAAAGAAGGTTGGGAAGAAAAAACCAGCAGAGAATTATATAAAGGAGTACACATTTTAAAAAGATTAATATAAAAGCTGCTAAAGGTTAGAGAAAGAAATTGGAACATGCACAAAAGATGACAAAAATAAGATGCCAGTAAAAGAAAAAAGATCCCTGGGAGAATGACAACACGTGCAGTCAAATATAGCAGCCACATCAAAAGAAGTTTTGTACCAATTAAAGCCTCAAAGAAAGAGAGAAATCGAAAGTTGGATAGGTTACCCTAACATCTCAGAAAGCATCCAAAGAAATTACAGACCCCAGAATTGATCTTTAACAGAACAATACAAAAAGGACTAAACTAAGGAAAAGTGCAAACAGTTTTTCTTCCCTCCTCCTCTTCTTTGTGGAGATGTATACAGAAGAACATTAACAGAAGGAAAAAAAATCCATAGAAAGATCTAATGAGAGCAAGATGAAAGCAAAATCCCAGAGTTAAATAAGTGCTGAGGTTGCAAGACACCTGAAGATAGAGAATCAACATAAAGCAGTGCTTTTTTGTAAAGCGAATTCTTTTGACAGCTGGTGACATTTGAGGAAACAACCCAAAGCCTACGGGCTTCAAATCAAACACTACCACTTTTGGGTTTCGATGCAGTATGTGCTGCTGAAACATCGTAACGCATATTTATTAAGCACTAAAATATCCTCCCTTCGATTAAAAAGAGGGACAAGGAACAGATTGTAATAATGGGTTAGTAATGTTAAAGTGTCATAATGAGGAGGTCAAGGATGAAAACAAGCATCACCACTGGAAACAAGGCTTGTCACTTCAGACAGATTAACAACGCCAAGAAGCTGCCACACTACGCAGTAAAGAATACTTCATATGGAGTCGGCACAAATTTAAAACCCCAATATACACAGTGTCCTGATCTTTGCGTAAGGAAAACAGGAGGATTTGGGCTTTAAGTGTGAGCTGACAGTAATCCAGACTCCAGAGGAACCCAGAGAGTCGCCCTACAAAAGGGCTTCTTCCAGATGCATGAAAGAAAGAGCACACTATCAATGCCACCATGATTAGGCCAAGATTTGTCCAATCCAACAACAGCATATATGAAGGATTACATCCAACATTTAAAGACAGGACAGTCCAACATATCCAGTCTAAAGATGCACAGTGTGATGGAAAACCATAACTTTGGGTGAACTACATAGAGACAAACATCAAAGGGGATAAAAGCTACACACAGAAATAAGGAAGAATACTGGGATGTACACGTCAGCTGCACACATGGCACCGTGCCGACTGAGTTTTAAGCTGCCAAATACTTTTTATCAAAAACTTGCCTTCACACAGTATTCTCTCTAGCTCAGTATTTTCTAGCTGGATAGTATTTTCCATTCTCTATGAATTCCTTTCAAGGTAGCATTTAGATGTTGCTGGTCTGACTTAAAACAAGGTTCAAAAATAACTGGCAAGGGTGAACAAGTTTGAGGAACATCTTCCCTGCAAAACAGCATGCATCACTTGTTTGTCAGGCCTGATGAAAGCACTGTATTCAGTAAAAGCTAGGTAACTTTTTCCAGCAATATCTGTTGATCTAGTAGAAGACACCAGCATGTTCTATGAATTTACCTTCCTGTACTTTACAAGGCCTATACAAAATCCTTTCAATTATTTCGGATTTTAACATTAACAGATTTTCCCATCAGCCTGTGAGAACAATTCAAAACCATGTGAGCTTCAGTATTTAGAACTTAGTATGAAAAAAAATGTAACTACATGTAATAGAGCAGGAAACCCCATTCAGCTACTAGCAAGTGTACTTGCATCTGGCAGGCATATATGAATAGGTAATAGCTGTTCACATGAATTTTCAAAATCAACTGCCTAAAAGATTTGGAGCAAAAGGTGTTAGGGACTGAAAAGTAAAAAGGTAATAATTCTCCAAGCTTGCTGCAGGGCAGGAACTGAAAGGCAGCAACTCATTCAGGACTGCGAGCCCAGGGAGGGAGCAAGGGGAATGCAGGTTTTTAACATAAATATAAATGTGAAGTTCTAAGTATTTTAATGAAGAATGTCCTGAAAGTTACTGGATTATGGCATGGAAAATGTTGCAGTTGTGACTGCAGTGAGGTGGACATACCAAGACAGTCTCATTTCTCAAAGGGTGCCGAGACATTCTAATTCTACGAACGCACAATATGCACGGTCTCTGTGCGAGAAGGGGTACACCAATAACGAAACAAAAAAGCCAGTGAACTCATAGGGAGTCCGTTACAAAACACACCGCTGCTCTCTATAGCTTAAAATCCACTTTCCAGTGACTCAGCCTGGCAAACTCCCAAAAAGCCCTTTTCCACTCGTATGCTGGTAGTGATGTCAGGAATCATTAAACAAGAAGTAAATAAAAATATGGATAGCTTCAGTAAAACCATGTGAAATAGAACAGTACCACCAAGAAATCTTTTGCAGATTTTCAGGTTTTTGGGGCCAAGAAAGTTTTATCAACTGCCTTTACCCCAAAAGTGAAATATAAGCTGTGTTCATGTACTCAAATATCAGCATATAAAAGTGCCAAATACAGAAGCTGTATGAATTAAACTAATGAAAGCTCAGTACCAAAAAAGTAGAATTACAGCTTCTGTGTTTAAGTCTTTTATATTCAGCTATTTAACAAATGCAGTTTTCCCTTGCTTATATGAATTGTTCAGTTAACACCTCCTACAATTCTATAATTTCTGTGCAAGAATCACTGTATTTCCAACATGAAGCTTTGCAAACTTCCCAAATGCTACATCATATTCACTTTCACAATTGACCAAAATTCACAAATTCTCCATGTGATAATGAACTCCCCAATCCAGACATGACTAAAGAGAGGATTAATCAAGTTCTATGTATGTGTAGATGCTTCAAAATAACAAAGTAACACAGAAATAATGTAAAATTGGACCCAAAACATCTCTGAGGAATATGCAAATAATAATTCCCAGTTCAGTATCTGGACAGACATTAAACAGTCCATTCTGTCACACCATCTGCTAGACAGTTACCAACCTTGCTCTGTTGTTCTCTATGCTATTTGTGCTTTATTTTTATTTTTAAATATGGAGCAATTCAACTTATTTGGAAGTCAGATAAAAGACATGGTGGTGAACTTAAAAAATATTTAAAGGAATCAAAAAGCGATACACAGCAAAAAATCAACTACGAAAAGTAGTTTCAGATCAGCGATAAGGAGAATTAAAAGAATTACTTCTAAATGCTTGCTTGAATTGCACCTCAAACAAGCTTACATTCAGTATATACAGCAAGTCACAAAAGCTTAAGCTTCGTTTTCAAAATTTTTATTTAATAGAATAACTCAAACATTCGGCAAAAAAAATTTTGGTCTACATTACGGAAAAGAAACTGTGGGAATTATTCCTCACGCTCACATGTGTGCTGTATGCACGTATGAAATCATAAAGTACACTAAAATATCACCTCAGAGTATAACCTTAATCATGAGCCAAATGTCAACATAAAGTCTTACCAGTACAACTGGACAGCAGGAAAGCAAAGGTACATGCAGAGAACACAAAAGCCTCAGTCTACACCATGCAAAAAACACAGTATGGCAATCACCAAGTTGCCCTCCTGAATCTGTACTAACTCTACAAAATTCCAGAGAGCACTGTGTGGATTTAACTGCTCCAGAAGTAGTCTGGACTCATACGAAGAGCACACTGCAGGCCAGCTTATGTGAATCAGTTGCAAAAATCCCTGTGCTTGGGACTCCAGAGCATGCCTAGGTCAGATGGATCTGTTTGGTTCGATGAAGACCTACTGGAGGAGATTCAACTGCAGAAATTCCATTGAAAGGTGTTTTTCAAGTTTACAAGCCATTTCTGACCAAAATGTGAATCTGAAGGCCAATGCAAAAATCTATATTCACTATGCACTGTATTCACCAAGATACTCAGTGTAACATAAAAGGTGATTATTCACAGGTCTTGATACAACACAAACACCAAGGGAATGAGGGATTCACTTGTGCTTGCCCCAGGTTTTCTTCATGTGCAAATCAATAAAAACATGCAGTGTTTTAAAGACTTAAGAGATAAGCTGTTTTGCACTGAGGTCACTAAGATGAAGAAAAGAGTTGTGCTCATTTTCATTAATAAATATTTAAAATCTTATCCAAAAATACCACTGTGTCTGAATACTTACTCTTACAACCTCTCAAAAACTAATTATTTGGAATAAGTCAAAACAAGACTGAGAAAATTGTATTATTAAACAAAGCCAAAGAAGGTGACTTAGAACAGGAAGTTTTTCCAAGTTCCTAGTTCAAATGCCAAGTTGAAAATTTATTTGTTTTCCTTACTTTCAGAATATCTTGAGTTTCATTCCACTTGTTTGTCCACTCTTTGGTCAGTTCTTGCACCTATAAAAGAAAACAAGTATAAAAAAAAAATCATATCTCTTCTAAAGTTCATGATAACGCATTCTCAGAGAAGTACTAAATATCCGTGCACTTCTTTGTGAAGTTTAATACTTAAACATCTAGAAGAGCACTGTTGCTTCTGCAATAAGTGGCCATAACTACAATTTCTCTCTCTCAAAAAGGAAAATCACAAAATTCTTATTTATAGTATGAAAAGTAACAAAAGACAAGGATATTCACTTCAAATAATGGCAGGCATTTTCAAAGAAAGGGAACAATTCCATAAAGTGCTTCTTCAGTCCTACAAAGTCTACTGCCACAGATTGATCCTTTCACTATAACAAGATGACGGCTCGTTTTCTACAGCGCAGGTACACACATTTAGGTTAAAATACCCTCCACAGAAAGGAATGTTAGAGGTGGAAGCAGACAGGGAGCCTTCAGCAGAGAATCAGAGCAAAGTTTGCTGCAACTTCAGGAGGGCCAGTTGTGATAGGACAAGGGGTAATGGTTTTAAAATAGAGGGAGGAAGATTCAGGTTGGATATTAGGAAAAAATTTTTTACATTAAGAGTTGTAGAACACTGGAACAGGTTGCCCAGAGAGGTGGTGGATGCTCCATCCCCGGAGACGTTGCAGGCCAGGTTGGACGAGGCCCTGAGCAACCTGATCTAGTTGGAGATATCCCTGTTCCTTGCAGGGGGGTTGGACTAGATGACCTTTGAAGGTCCCTTCCAGCCCTAACCATTCTATGATTCTATGATTCTATAACTTGGAAATCACGTACTTCGTTAAAATCAGC